ACTGAAGGCTTTCTTCCCAGACTCAAAGCTGATTTCCCCTAACAGAACCACCCTCTGGTAACCTGGGCAGCCTGCACCCTGGGGCCCTGCTGTTTCAAGCTGCTGGGCATCCTCCATCCCTCCCCACTATGGCTGATGCCCTTGCCCATGGAGCTGATGTCAACTGGGTCAACACGAGTCAGGAGAACGCCACACCACTAATCCAGGCCACAGCTGCTGTGAGGCTCTTGTCAACCTCCCCACCCCGCCCTAAGGCTGCTTCTCTTCCCTACTCCTGACTCTCTCACCCCCATCCACCCACCCAATAGGGAATGATAACCAATAGAGACTATTTGCTAAGAGTGTGTGATTTGGAGGTAAACAACCTGGGTTTGAATCCAGGCTCTTACTACTTACAGTTATGAACCTCTGTGCCTCAGTTTCCTCATCTAAAATAGGGATCCCATACCTCATTAGATTGTACTGTGGATGTAATGTATGGATACATGTAAAGAGCTAGAGCAGAGCATGACACCTAGCTGTACCCCTAAATTCCTGATCCCACACCGGGCCCTCTGAACTGACCCCACTCTAAAAATCTTTAAATCTGTCTCTAAAGATGCCACCCTCTCTCCCTATTCTCTACTTCTCAATACAGAATTCTCTTCTGGCCTGTGAGTTTCTCCTCCAGAATGGGGCGAATGTGAACCAAGCAGACAGCCATGGCCGGGGGCCGCTTCACCACGCAACCATCCTTGGCCACACTGGGTAGCAGTGGCAGCGATGATGGCTTGGGGAGGAAGGTTCCAGATGGGATGAGCTCCTGGCTAAACCTGGCTATCCTCTCTAGACTGGCCTGCCTGTTCCTGAAAAGGGGAGCTGACCTGGGAGCTCAGGACTCTGAAGGCAGGGACCCTCTGACCATCGCCATGGAAACAGCCAATGCTGACATCGTCACTCTGTGAGGATGCATGACAGGGCAGGACTAGCACCTTTCACATGGGCATAGCTAACTCCAAGACCCCAGTGTGCCAGGGGAGACCTGGGGAGCGGGGGGGTCAGCTCCTGGACCAGGCAACAGACAGGATGCTCCCAGGTGTTGACAGTGTGGAGTAGCAAAGGTGTAGGCAGGGTCCAAGAACGGTGAGCTCATCCTGAGAATCATCATTCCTCAAAAATGTTGTCAGGCATCTTTTAAGCACTAGATCCAGGGCAAGCAGATGAATAAACAACCCAGCTTAATGGATGGGAAGTTGGGGGGGGGGAGGG